AAAAGTTTTGGCATTATTTCATCATCTAAATAATTTTCAGTTTTCTGTACAACGGTTAATCTTATATCTAGTTTCGCACTTTGTGGTTCTTTATTAAGAATTGTTAAAGCTTATTTGCGTAGTAGCAGAAATATTTATACGTGGGGCTTAACTAATGAACACTCTGAAAAGAAAAGTTTGAATGGTTTTCATTTTTAAAATTGTTTTTTATCAGTATGTTGCTAGGTGGAGAAACATAAGCGTTTGCAAGGAAAAGGCAGTAATATTGCATTTACTTCAGTTCTTCAGTCATATCTCGTCAGAATTTTATCTGTTTAATATCTCGAAACGTTGCAGGTTTGTATTATGGGCAACTGGTTTGGACACGGCACGCACGGAGCGGTGCTTGGTTTATGGTCGTCATGTGCGTCTGTCGGTAACATATTAGGTACAATGATAGCTTCTCATGCATTACTTTATGGCTATGAGGTATAGTGAGGTTTATATCACGAGGTTTTTTTTACAATTTATGATTGCATTTGGTTTCTGTTTTCAGTATGCCTTCGGGTTCAATGCTTTATTATTGTTACTTGGCAGTTTTGTCGTGCTCCTATTTCTGCATTCATCCCCACGTTTCGTAGGTAAACACTTCTGGGATTAATTTTTTTCTTGAAGTATTGAACACTTCAATAGGCTTGCTACTAAAAGTTTTTGGGTTTAGGTTTACCCGATCCGAATGACAGTTCTGAAGAGAGAGCAGAACTCTTAACGGGGTTGGTGGAGCGTCCAAAGCCAGTTGGTTTCTTTCGTGCTTGGTTATTACCAGGCGTATTATCGGTATACATTAAAGTTCTTTTATTGTGATGCAGATTTTTGACTTTCTTTCACCCCAATTTTTTGGAAATACCGGAGGTTTTCGATTTTTTAAAACCTTTTGTCTTTCTTAATTTCATTTTTTAAGACATAATATTTATTCCGGCATTTTCAGTATTCGTTGGCTTACGCTTGTTTAAAGATGGTTAATTATTCGTTCTTCTTCTGGTTACCGTTCTATCTACACAATAATTTTCACTGGGAAGAAGCGGTTGCTGATGCTCTATCGGTTTGGTATGACTGGGGTGGTATATTAGCAGCAGTTCTCGCAGGAGTTTTATCTGTTAGCTATATTGTTTACGTTTTTTTTGGTCTGAACATTTCATTACATAAGCGAACGTTTATTTTAGAAACTGCTGCAAGTTTATTAAGTGAGTTAAAGCTTTGTATGATTTACTCTTCAACTGAGTGTTTTGGTTCTTTTGACAGGACAAATGTAGATCTCGGACACCAATTGTTGTAGCTATGTTGGCAATATCAATGGGTGCGCTGTTTGCATACGCTAGTATGTAGTTTTAAGTTTTTTGTACCTTAATGGGGGAGACGTATTTCTGATAATAATTTTATAATTTTTTGCTCATTCCTTTAAGGGATTTCATGGAACTTTTTGCAGAGTCGCCTAAAGATATCGTCATCAATTCCCTGCTAATGGCAGTAACAGGCTTTTTTATTGGTGGTCCGGCAAACCTCGTTTCTGCTGCAATATCTGCTGACTTAGGTACCAGGGATTTTATTTTTTTCGTTTCTTGGTCGTTGTTTTTTGAAGGTCGCTGAATATTACGCCCTCATTTGCTTATATCACTGAAATTTCAAGGAAAGGCTGAAGAAATACGGGGTTCAGCCGAGGCATTGAGCACAGTGACCGGTATCGTTGATGGTACCGGAAGTATAGGTGCTAGCGTTGGTCAGATACTGTTACCAGTAATTCAGAATTCAGCTGGTTGGAGCTCTGTATTTTACATGTTTATTTTAATGGTATTTGCTTATATGAGTCTTATATTTGCGGATTATTTCTTTTGACCTTTAAATGCTGCTGAATCTTGCTTATCTTCTATGTAGTATTTTTAGATTTTTTTAACTGTGATTTGTTTGCTGCCGCTAATGTTCAAGGAAATAAGAAGCCGCAGAAGAATTCATTATGAAGCTTTACCTGAGGATGACAACTATGTGCAAACTTCAGTTGCTTCCGATTCCGAACCTGAGCTTGACTCAGATGTTTTAAGATCTTCTTCCGAAAGAAATCTTTTATCTCCATGTCAGCGTAACTCGCAGTTTGCATCAATTCCAATTAGGGGGACTCGAGAGGATGATAGTTTTTTTGGAAGTAGGTCTGTTCCATAATTTTAAACTTTCCGCGCAAAAATGGCTGAGAAGATAACAGCTTCCTCACAAATTTTTCAGCCTATTTTCAAATGAAAAGTTAATTTCAGTTTAAAATTTATTAATTCACTAACTGTTTGCATGTGCCACATTGTTTTCAACAGACATCGTTTGATAAGTTGCAGTATAGCTGTGAAGCGGAATATAGTTCTTCAAACTTAGCTTGGATCTCTTCAAAAATATTTCTGCTCTTTTTATTAATTCTTCTTTTAACCATTTTAAGTTGATTTCTCTCAGCAGTCAATCAGGTCTTTGCCATAAACTCAAGGGACAGTTTGGGTGAAAATGAAGGTACATTTAGTTCTCACTACTTTTTCAGAATTTAGAAAGTTTTTATTTTGAAAGTTAATGTGGATAGGAATTTTTAAGTGTCTAGCTCCTCTAAAACTTAGGGTTCGTCTTGCAACATTTCGTCAGTTGTTGTTTCTTTTAAGTTCTGATGTTTTTGTAAAGAAAACATAAAAAATATTCCTTCACTTTTTTTTTGTTTTATACTTAAGTTTTTTATGTAATTAATATTTCACTTTTAAAATTGTTTCTTCCTTTTCATTCTTTTTTTTGTCCATCAGTGATGAGAAGAGTACTGAGTGGGTAAGAACATGTTGTTTATTATTGATTTACCGGAGTTAAAGATTTTTACTATCTTTATTTGTTTGTAAGTTGTGGCTTTTAAATTTCTGTAACTGTTTCCATTGCAGTTGTGATGTTCAGGAAACGTATGTTGTGATAAAACTGTGCATTTATTGAGTAATAGCTTAACTGGATATTTAAAAGTTTTTTATTTGCTCTCAGTCTAATTTATTAAATTTGTCATGGTCGAAAAAAAATATGGCATTTTTCATTTATTGGTTGCCTTAAAGTGTCTTCCTCTTTCATATTGAATTTTTTCACTTTTGCATTTAGTTAACCAAAGTGCCTCCTGCTCTTTTTTCCTTATTTCTATCGCTCCACTGCAACTGTGATACAGCAGTGTTGCTGCTTTAACTATTACCACTAACGCCTTGGTTTGATCATTAATCAAAGACAAAATGCATAGAAAGACTTTTATTCAATAATTTTGTTTTATTGTCAGTTTTGTGCATTTCCTTTTTTTTTTTTTTCTTAATGTTTAGTTTTTGTATATTAAACGTCTTTGTTGATGCAGAAACTCTGATAAACGATTAAAATATTTGTTTTTGAAGTATCAGTTCTACTCTCAGCAAGGATATGTATATGTACATGTACTTGGAAGGGGGAAAACAGCTGGGAAATAGAGTGTTGTGAAATAATGAGTTTCGGTCAATTTATTATTTCATTGTGACACTTCTAACACATCAACTATTTATTAAGAGATTAGGTCATAATTGGTGGCACATTTGCTCGAGGGGTAATATGTGTGCTTTTTTGTTTGGTACAAGTAATGTTTTGATTCATTGGACGGAATATGATGGGAAAGTAGGCTTTTTGGGGTAGGCAAAAAGAAGGCATAGCGATGGAAACAGTTGCCTGAAAAGGTGGGAGTTGTATTTTGGTCGATAACTTCGATGTCAACCAAGTTAACGACTGACATTTTTGCGAGGGAGTTGTTTCAGTTTTGTTGTTATCAAATAATCTGAAGTGCTTTGATAAGTTGGTGATGACGATGGAATCGTAGAATGATGTGGAAATTTGCACAAATATGATACTGTCACCAGCTGGTGACGTGGGATTGTTGTGAAAATGGTTGAATAGAGGTTTTGTAGAGTGGTATGATGGCGAAAATAGAATCTGAATTGCTTTTTTTTTTTT